GCTGGGGAACCCATTGCAGTCCCATTGAGTTGGTGAAAAACTCTGTCATCAAACTGAAAAAAGTTATTCGTGAGAATGAGTCTCATGATGCCAACGAGGGCTTGTCTATGTGTCCCGGGGATGTTCATGTCTCTAAGGTGCCAAGCAAGAGCTCTGAGACCGTCAACATGTTTAATAGAAGTATAGAGTGAAACAACATCTAGTGTAAGGAAACAGAGATTCTCATTCCATTCTATGTTCTGCAAGTTGTCCAGGAGGTCATGTGAGTTGATGAGTACACTAGGTTTCGAGATCACGGATGGCCATAGGTAGATGTGAAATAGTCTAGCCCAATCATATGTAGGGGAGCCCCTAGATGCTACAATTGGTCTGATTTTCAATGGATTTTTATGTAACTTGGGTAGGCCATAAAAATTTGGTAAATCATTAGACGGAGTCAACAACCGTGCTCTGGCTCGTCGATGTAGGACTCTTAAGATAGGCCTAGCTGCATTGATGAACTTTCTTTGCAAATCATCTAAATCTAAGGTAGAGATATGTACCAGTCGATAGGTGTTACTGTCAAAGAGATGCTGGTGGCACAGGGAGACGTACTTAATGCGGCTCATTATTACAGTAGTGCTACCCTTGTCAGCCGGACAAATAACTAGATGTTTCGCATCGGCTAGAAAGTGTAACGCGGTGGTCTCAATAGGACCCAAGTTGCTGGCCACCTTCTTAGGTTTGAAGTTTCTAACAGCTAGTTCAACGTCTCTCATAAAAGCTCTAACATCCGGTGAAATAGATGCTACTGGTGGATGCCAGTGTGACGGCTTATACAAGGAACGGAATCTATCGGGTGTACTGGATCTACCGTGGAAATGTGCTGTAATGGCAATGTTTCTGAGGAACTTTGAAATGTCAGCATTATCAATTCTCGGTAGTGAGTTGAGCCTAGGAACGAACTTAAGTCCTAGTCCTAGAAGTTCAATAAGCTCAACTGGTACACTTACGTCCAAGCACGTGATGGTGTCCCGTGAAGAACAGTTTTCGCGTAGAGATTGTTTAAGATCTGAGCTTTGTTTACGGATTCGTTTACGGCGACGGCGCCTGTGGTTGGTGGTGTTACCTCCACGCCGTCGTTGTCGTCTGCGGGGGCTGTCACCGTCAGGAGGTCGGTCGTTGCGGTGGTCCCCAGGCCCCTAGCGATCGGCCGGGGCGTTGCGCGCCGAGCGTCGTACCGGTTGCGGCGTTGAGGCCTGCTGTGGACGGCGGCGTTGCGTACGGCGTGCTGAGCTAGTCGTTGCCTGTTGTTCAGACGTGGGTTGAACGTCGTGATTCGAAGGTCGACGACGATGCTGCTTCGGCGTCTGCTGTTGCTGCTGCCTCGGCGTTACTGGCTGCTGATGTTGTTGCTTGCGTGGCGTCTTACGCTGCTGCTGTTGCTGCTGCTGCGGCTGTTGTTGTCGCTGCTGTTGGGGTGGGGCAGGTGTCACAACTGGTTTGTTGGCAGTACTATTTTCACCGGGCGGTGGTGCTGGTGCGTCGGCAAGGCATTCAGCATGGCTCCTAATGCGTCCAGCCAGTTCATCAACATCAATGCGTGGAGAAACGACCAGCTCGGTCTGGACGACATGTCGTACTGCTGCTGGGAGTGAGTGCTTACAGTCACTCAGTGCCTTTTTCGCCTCAATGCATGATACCCTCCTAGACTCCGCTAGCAAAATGCAAATTTCCTGGTTACATCTGGCTGTAACCTGCGCTATTTGTTCATCTAGCTTCGTGTCCCCGGTGGTCTTGGGCTTATGAGCCAATGAGAGTGGCGGTCTGAATTGCGCAAGTCTCACCTCTGCATCAAATAGTGCATTGACTGCTTTGGTGTAGAGCTTGCAGTGTTTGACAAATGTGTCTACAATGGGTGTGAATAATTGGGCATATTTCCCCCATATGTAGTCAAGGTCGACACGAATGTCGCCAAGCTCATCATGCTGGTGTGTCACAGTAGACTCAGACTGCGCTAGACGTGCCAGATGTGCGGCTTCGGCGTCCAGGCTGTCTGCGCCTACTGTGTGTGTGCCTGTCTCTGTGTGTGCGTCTGTGTTGGCTGATGTGCGTGCATCTAACTCAGTGCGTGCATCTCCAGTGGTGTGTGCATCTAAATTGGTGCGTGCATCAGCTCTAACACGTGCATCAGTGACTGGCACAGTAATCTGTCTATCTCCCCCTTCCTCATCACTACTAAAATTAATAATGACGTTCTCAGGACTATTACTGTTACTCATATTTCTACTATGGACAAGGCAACCTAGCCAGCGGAGTCTAAAGAAGGCATACAAGCATGCGGTTGATACTCACAAACCCAACGGTGTCCCAGTATATCAGGATCTGTGTCGAATCGACGACAGCGCAGGCACTAGTGGTAGGGTTAGGGCTAAGCAGGTTCCACGACAGCACCGCGACCTCAATCCACACAAGTTTGGGTAGTAAGTATTGCAAGTAATATTTTCAGAGTTGTAGACTTCACAAACAAAAAAATTGCTACAGCTGTTTCGCTGCCAAAGTGGCAGCTCATCAGGCAAGAAAGTGAAGGATACTGAAATGAGAAAGCAGGACCTAGTTATATAGCTCTAGGAGTCGTGTGCAAAAAATTGTCTACGTGTATTAGACACTTTAGCAAGGGGCACAAAACAAGGGCCTATGCTGCTAGACAAGGAGAAGCGGCGGGAAGCCCCACGCTAGAGTATTTTGTATAACGTACATCCTGGGCGGGGGGGGGGGGGTGCAGTGCATTGCTAGAGATTGTAGAATTGGAAAAAAAATTCCTCAAATGCAATAGCTGTGCAGCAGGCCCGGGGTCTGTATAGATGCGTACCGTATTTATGATTGGCAACCGAGAGGGTCTCACTGGCTGCGAGTTATAATTAGGTATGGCAAATAGATAGCTAATGCAGCAGGCCCGGGGTCTGTATAGATGCGTACCGTATTTATGATTGGCAACCGAGAGGGTCTCACTGGCTGCGAGTTGGAGTAATAATTAGGTATGGCAAATATGGTGTAGTAGACAGCCAGATAAATGCGTACGGGGGGTTAGGGTTCGGGTTAGGGTTAGGGTTAGGGTTAGGTGCAGTAGAAAGCAAGACCCTATGCATACGGGCAGGCTGGGGCTGTGGTGCTTACAAATGTTTATGTTGAGCGTATGCTCCCAGTGGTTTTGACTTGCGCCATGCAATGAATGGTGGGGGTCCCAAATATTGTAAATTGTGGCGTGTCCAGAGTGTGCGTAGAGTACGTGACATATTCCTTAGAGCAGGATGGTATGTGAGTACGAGAGGAGTGCAGCGCCTAGTAGAGTTAGGGATTACTGGCTTTTTTCTAAATCTAAGGGCTGCATTGACTACGCTGGCAGAATACCCACGTGCTAGTAGTCGCTGTTTTAGGAACAGCTTCGTACCGTGAGCTGAGGTGGAATCTGTTGCACCTCGTTGTGCTCTTGTCATCTCGCCTACTGCAATGGCGCGCCAGGTGTGTTGTGGATGAGAGCTTCTGGGTGAAACATATGCGAACTTGTTCGTGGATTTAAAGTTCAAGCGTGAGCATACTGAATTGTTCTGCGTAGACAGTGCGAGGTCTAACATGATACAATTGGTCTGGCTACACTCATGTGTAAATCTAATCGGACAGTTCCTCGATGACTCTTCTATAATCTCAGGGACTAGGGTTTGGTCCACTATAGAAAAAAGGTCATCAATGTAGCGAGAGAAAATGAGTGCACTAGCTCTAAGGATTGTAAGATGGAAGTGTTCAATTCTCAGCATAAAAATATTGGCATAGACAACTGCGGCTGGGGAACCCATTGCAGTCCCATTGAGTTGGTGAAAAACTCTGTCATCAAACTGAAAAAAGTTATTCGTGAGAATGAGTCTCATGATGCCAACGAGGGCTTGTCTATGTGTCCCGGGGATGTTCATGTCTCTAAGGTGCCAAGCAAGAGCTCTGAGACCGTCAACATGTTTAATAGAAGTATAGAGTGAAACAACATCTAGTGTAAGGAAACAGAGATTCTCATTCCATTCTATGTTCTGCAAGTTGTCCAGGAGGTCATGTGAGTTGATGAGTACACTAGGTTTCGAGATCACGGATGGCCATAGGTAGATGTGAAATAGTCTAGCCCAATCATATGTAGGGGAGCCCCTAGATGCTACAATTGGTCTGATTTTCAATGGATTTTTATGTAACTTGGGTAGGCCATAAAAATTTGGTAAATCATTAGACGGAGTCAACAACCGTGCTCTGGCTCGTCGATGTAGGACTCTTAAGATAGGCCTAGCTGCATTGATGAACTTTCTTTGCAAATCATCTAAATCTAAGGTAGAGATATGTACCAGTCGATAGGTGTTACTGTCAAAGAGATGCTGGTGGCACAGGGAGACGTACTTAATGCGGCTCATTATTACAGTAGTGCTACCCTTGTCAGCCGGACAAATAACTAGATGTTTCGCATCGGCTAGAAAGTGTAACGCGGTGGTCTCAATAGGACCCAAGTTGCTGGCCACCTTCTTAGGTTTGAAGTTTCTAACAGCTAGTTCAACGTCTCTCATAAAAGCTCTAACATCCGGTGAAATAGATGCTACTGGTGGATGCCAGTGTGACGGCTTATACAAGGAACGGAATCTATCGGGTGTACTGGATCTACCGTGGAAATGTGCTGTAATGGCAATGTTTCTGAGGAACTTTGAAATGTCAGCATTATCAATTCTCGGTAGTGAGTTGAGCCTAGGAACGAACTTAAGTCCTAGTCCTAGAAGTTCAATAAGCTCAACTGGTACACTTACGTCCAAGCACGTGATGGTGTCCCGTGAAGAACAGTTTTCGCGTAGAGATTGTTTAAGATCTGAGCTTTGTTTACGGATTCGTTTACGGCGACGGCGCCTGTGGTTGGTGGTGTTACCTCCACGCCGTCGTTGTCGTCTGCGGGGGCTGTCACCGTCAGGAGGTCGGTCGTTGCGGTGGTCCCCAGGCCCCTAGCGATCGGCCGGGGCGTTGCGCGCCGAGCGTCGTACCGGTTGCGGCGTTGAGGCCTGCTGTGGACGGCGGCGTTGCGTACGGCGTGCTGAGCTAGTCGTTGCCTGTTGTTCAGACGTGGGTTGAACGTCGTGATTCGAAGGTCGACGACGATGCTGCTTCGGCGTCTGCTGTTGCTGCTGCCTCGGCGTTACTGGCTGCTGATGTTGTTGCTTGCGTGGCGTCTTACGCTGCTGCTGTTGCTGCTGCTGCGGCTGTTGTTGTCGCTGCTGTTGGGGTGGGGCAGGTGTCACAACTGGTTTGTTGGCAGTACTATTTTCACCGGGCGGTGGTGCTGGTGCGTCGGCAAGGCATTCAGCATGGCTCCTAATGCGTCCAGCCAGTTCATCAACATCAATGCGTGGAGAAACGACCAGCTCGGTCTGGACGACATGTCGTACTGCTGCTGGGAGTGAGTGCTTACAGTCACTCAGTGCCTTTTTCGCCTCAATGCATGATACCCTCCTAGACTCCGCTAGCAAAATGCAAATTTCCTGGTTACATCTGGCTGTAACCTGCGCTATTTGTTCATCTAGCTTCGTGTCCCCGGTGGTCTTGGGCTTATGAGCCAATGAGAGTGGCGGTCTGAATTGCGCAAGTCTCACCTCTGCATCAAATAGTGCATTGACTGCTTTGGTGTAGAGCTTGCAGTGTTTGACAAATGTGTCTACAATGGGTGTGAATAATTGGGCATATTTCCCCCATATGTAGTCAAGGTCGACACGAATGTCGCCAAGCTCATCATGCTGGTGTGTCACAGTAGACTCAGACTGCGCTAGACGTGCCAGATGTGCGGCTTCGGCGTCCAGGCTGTCTGCGCCTACTGTGTGTGTGCCTGTCTCTGTGTGTGCGTCTGTGTTGGCTGATGTGCGTGCATCTAACTCAGTGCGTGCATCTCCAGTGGTGTGTGCATCTAAATTGGTGCGTGCATCAGCTCTAACACGTGCATCAGTGACTGGCACAGTAATCTGTCTATCTCCCCCTTCCTCATCACTACTAAAATTAATAATGACGTTCTCAGGACTATTACTGTTACTCATATTTCTACTATGGACAAGGCAACCTAGCCAGCGGAGTCTAAAGAAGGCATACAAGCATGCGGTTGATACTCACAAACCCAACGGTGTCCCAGTATATCAGGATCTGTGTCGAATCGACGACAGCGCAGGCACTAGTGGTAGGGTTAGGGCTAAGCAGGTTCCACGACAGCACCGCGACCTCAATCCACACAAGTTTGGGTAGTAAGTATTGCAAGTAATATTTTCAGAGTTGTAGACTTCACAAACAAAAAAATTGCTACAGCTGTTTCGCTGCCAAAGTGGCAGCTCATCAGGCAAGAAAGTGAAGGATACTGAAATGAGAAAGCAGGACCTAGTTATATAGCTCTAGGAGTCGTGTGCAAAAAATTGTCTACGTGTATTAGACACTTTAGCAAGGGGCACAAAACAAGGGCCTATGCTGCTAGACAAGGAGAAGCGGCGGGAAGCCCCACGCTAGAGTATTTTGTATAACGTACATCCTGGGCGGGGGGGGGGGGGTGCAGTGCATTGCTAGAGATTGTAGAATTGGAAAAAAAATTCCTCAAATGCAATAGCTGTGCAGCAGGCCCGGGGTCTGTATAGATGCGTACCGTATTTATGATTGGCAACCGAGAGGGTCTCACTGGCTGCGAGTTATAATTAGGTATGGCAAATAGATAGCTAATGCAGCAGGCCCGGGGTCTGTATAGATGCGTACCGTATTTATGATTGGCAACCGAGAGGGTCTCACTGGCTGCGAGTTGGAGTAATAATTAGGTATGGCAAATATGGTGTAGTAGACAGCCAGATAAATGCGTACGGGGGGTTAGGGTTCGGGTTAGGGTTAGGGTTAGGGTTAGGTGCAGTAGAAAGCAAGACCCTATGCATACGGGCAGGCTGGGGCTGTGGTGCTTACAAATGTTTATGTTGAGCGTATGCTCCCAGTGGTTTTGACTTGCGCCATGCAATGAATGGTGGGGGTCCCAAATATTGTAAATTGTGGCGTGTCCAGAGTGTGCGTAGAGTACGTGACATATTCCTTAGAGCAGGATGGTATGTGAGTACGAGAGGAGTGCAGCGCCTAGTAGAGTTAGGGATTACTGGCTTTTTTCTAAATCTAAGGGCTGCATTGACTACGCTGGCAGAATACCCACGTGCTAGTAGTCGCTGTTTTAGGAACAGCTTCGTACCGTGAGCTGAGGTGGAATCTGTTGCACCTCGTTGTGCTCTTGTCATCTCGCCTACTGCAATGGCGCGCCAGGTGTGTTGTGGATGAGAGCTTCTGGGTGAAACATATGCGAACTTGTTCGTGGATTTAAAGTTCAAGCGTGAGCATACTGAATTGTTCTGCGTAGACAGTGCGAGGTCTAACATGATACAATTGGTCTGGCTACACTCATGTGTAAATCTAATCGGACAGTTCCTCGATGACTCTTCTATAATCTCAGGGACTAGGGTTTGGTCCACTATAGAAAAAAGGTCATCAATGTAGCGAGAGAAAATGAGTGCACTAGCTCTAAGGATTGTAAGATGGAAGTGTTCAATTCTCAGCATAAAAATATTGGCATAGACAACTGCGGCTGGGGAACCCATTGCAGTCCCATTGAGTTGGTGAAAAACTCTGTCATCAAACTGAAAAAAGTTATTCGTGAGAATGAGTCTCATGATGCCAACGAGGGCTTGTCTATGTGTCCCGGGGATGTTCATGTCTCTAAGGTGCCAAGCAAGAGCTCTGAGACCGTCAACATGTTTAATAGAAGTATAGAGTGAAACAACATCTAGTGTAAGGAAACAGAGATTCTCATTCCATTCTATGTTCTGCAAGTTGTCCAGGAGGTCATGTGAGTTGATGAGTACACTAGGTTTCGAGATCACGGATGGCCATAGGTAGATGTGAAATAGTCTAGCCCAATCATATGTAGGGGAGCCCCTAGATGCTACAATTGGTCTGATTTTCAATGGATTTTTATGTAACTTGGGTAGGCCATAAAAATTTGGTAAATCATTAGACGGAGTCAACAACCGTGCTCTGGCTCGTCGATGTAGGACTCTTAAGATAGGCCTAGCTGCATTGATGAACTTTCTTTGCAAATCATCTAAATCTAAGGTAGAGATATGTACCAGTCGATAGGTGTTACTGTCAAAGAGATGCTGGTGGCACAGGGAGACGTACTTAATGCGGCTCATTATTACAGTAGTGCTAC